TAACAATACCCACCATTAATCATTAACCGGATGGTCTACGTGTGCTGGGTGCTGGGCTCAGTGATGTCGCAAGCTTTGGATCTCACTTGATCCTGACAACAACCACAAAGAAGGGTTTTACTAGTCCCATTTGTTTGTTCCTTTGTCTTTTTAGGTTTCTTTTGGATGAGGAAGTTGAGGTTTAGACAAGTGAAGGGAATGGACTGATGGGGAGGGAGCCTACAATGGGGTGGCACTGGGTACAGAAAGGGCCTCTCACCAATGGGGAAGTGTTGGCAAGTCAGGCAACCTGCCTGTCCATAGACAGAGAGCATTCTTTGGCTTCCTTCTTAGGCATGCAGATGACATTCAAATGCGGGGCGGGGGGGTGGGGGGTGAGGGGTGGGGGGTGGGGTGGGAGTGGGTGTGGGGGTGTGGGGGGCTGGTCAGGGAACGAGATAACTTGCATCATTCTTAAAATCTGGTGGTTTCAGTTTCCTCCAACCTAACTTTGGGCCATGGAGTCAAGATAGGCCTGGATTATTGTTTGTGTCCTATTAGGCCAGACTCTGAATCAGAAGGACCCACTCTCCTCCCACATCTGGCACCCCTGTCACGCCCACAGTCCCATAGCCAAGGTGGCCTTTCCCACCATCTCTTTGCATCCTGGCACTATTCAGCTGCCTGGTCCTTACTTGTGGAAAAAGAAAATCAACCTCGGGAGGCAATTTCCAGCCCTCTGTGTGCACAGGATTTAAAACTGATTCCAAAAGCCAGCTGTCTTTAAGCACAGATAAGGAGGTTCTTTTGTTCCATATTCAGTATCAAAGGAAAGCTCCTTAGAAAAAAAGTGAATTTGAAAAGAAAAGATTCTCTGAAATTACAAAATATTATGAGGAACTGCTCAGCGTAATTTCTTTCTTTCTTCTCCCCACAGACCTTCAGAGACCTTTGGGATCCTACGTAGGGTTGAAAGGTCTTTACTTCCTGGGGTATTTTCTATTTGGCCTGGGGACAGGATTGATTGGACTTTTCCCGAATGTCTACTCCACCCTGACTATGTGTACCTTGTTTGGTGTGATGTCCAGCACTCTGTACACTGTGCCCTTCAGCCTCATTGCCAAGTACCACCGTGAGGAGCAGGATGAGAAGGTATGTCATTGAACCTCACCGGAAGGCCAGGGGGGATGTGGGAGGAAAGTGGAGGGCCCAGCCGGAGAATAAGGATCTTGAAACAGCAACTCTAAAATGCCCAGCCAAATGTAATGATGGTCTGGCCAAAGCATGACCAACTTCCCAGACTGCACCCTACTCCTTACTTGGAAGCCCTGTGCCCCCGGAGAGCAGCAGAATAGGTACCATTGCCCTCTGTTATCTGATTAGGAAAAGGGGGCTCAGGAATGCTGAGAAACCACCCCACCTCCACAGAGAAGAGGAAAGGGGAACCTGGGGATTCTGACAATTGCCCCAGCGTCCCCTGCAGTTGCAATATTTCTGGGCCCCCCATCCCAATGGCTGCCCTGAAGGATGGTTCATGTAGAGTAAGTGTGTTCCTGCATTTCCCTTGCAGAGACGGCAGGCCCCAGGATGGAGCCTGGACAGCGATGGGAGAGGGCAGGGCCTGGATTGCGCTGTCCTCACCTGCATGGTGCAGCTGGCTCAGATCCTAGTCGGAGGTGGCCTGGGCTTCCTGGTCAACAAGGCTGGGAGCGTCATCGTGGTAATCACGGCCTCTGCAGTGTCGCTGATCGGCTGCTGTTTTGTGGCTCTCTTTGTTAAATACGTGGACTAGGTCAATAAACATTGTCCCTACCCTCAGACACTGGGAAGTCCATGGCAGAAAATCAATCTCTTTCTTTGGCTCTACAGTTTTGGGGTCTGCCCACACCTCACTTTCTGCCAGCTCTCTGCACAACAGTTTCCAGATTTCAGGCATTATTCATCTTAGAAAAGACTGGGATCGGCCTCCATTCACTGGGGCAAAAGCTGAGTGTGGGAGAGAGCGCCTCCATCTCAGGGTATTTCTGGCCTTGACCAAACTTGAGAAGCAGACTAGTTCTACACACGACAATTGGGTTTATTCTATCATGTGTTGTGTTTTTTCTAATTAGAGGTCCGTATTTTGTCAGAGGGTCATATTTTTCGTTAATTCACCAATGCTCAAAATATTGCTGACGATTTATTTTATGATATTAATTTATTCATATTTAATTCACTCATACAGACAGATAGTCCCTGACTTAACAATAGTTGGACTTAACAAAAAAAAAAAATTTTTTTTTTTTTACTTTATGATAGTTGGACAGCAATGCGCATTCAGTAGAAACCCATACTTCGAATTTTGAATTTTGATCTTTCCTAGGTGATATGCCATATGACCCTCTCTCTTGATGCCAGGCAGTGGTAGCCACAGCTCCCAGTCAGCCTCACGATCACAAAGGTGAACATCTGGTACATTGACAACCATTCTGTCCCCATAGGGCTACGTTGATTTTTTTCACTTTCAATACAGTATTCAATAAATTACAAGAGATAATCAACCCTCAAAACCAGTCTGTCTTCCAGTCTTCCCTCCTCCATCTCCTTCACATTAACTATCCTAGAGCTGCAAGGTCATACTGAGTTAGAGGAATGGTCAGGGACAATCAATCCCTGCTCCCTTCCCCATAGTGTGGGATGATAATGTGCCGATGCCCAGAGGACCCCACGTGACTTGGTACCCTACATTTATTAAAAGAGACAGCACCAAGCTACCCCTCTTGCTTTACCCACCTGTCTTTGACCTCTGTTAGGTTTTAAAATGGAATTATTTGCAGACTTCAATGTTTATTTCCTGATCATTTCTCCAAAGACTGTTCTGGTGATTGAATATTTTGAAATCATGAATGGGTGAGCTAGGAGGGTGACCTGCAGCAGAGGACCCTCTTACCTGGACCCCAAGAAGTTAAGAGTTGTCATCTCTGGCCAAACACAGGGTGTGATCTTTATTACGAGTGAAGCTCTTTTCAGCTAGAGCACTGGATGGGCTGCTGGCATGAAGAAAGGAGCCAGAGCACCCACCCTGGGGCATCTCATCTACCCACCCCATCCCCCTTTTACATATGCATGAACACTCACTCAAATATTCAAATAAACACTCTGCTCTTTTAACTCAACTCCACTGAGGTTTGAATGAGAGGATAGAAGTAAATTTTAAAAGTCTTTAACCACTTTTGGGAACTCAAGTATTTGTTCTGAGGTTACCAATGACATGTTCTGTCTGGGACAAAAATGTTCTATTCTCAGACAAACAAAACAAATACAGGGACATCTAAATTGAACAGAAATCCCAGGAAATTCTGTAGAAGAAAAGGAAGCCAAACTGCTTTATTTCCTGCTTCCTCCCCCCATGCAGTTGACAGGCCAATCTCCAACCTTTAATAATTGCTTTTCTTCAGCTTCAAATGTCCTCTCTATGTCCCTGCTGCCGGTCTAAATCGCCATTCCTGCCCATCTAACTTGTACCCATATTTCTAGGTCCATCTCAAGTACTGTTTTGGTGAGGAAGTCTCTGAACCCCCAGCAGAGCTAAGCTCTCCATCCCCATGGACTCACTTTCTCGTAGCCATTGTTATGACATTCAGCTCTTCATTCAGTGACTTAGTTGCCTTGTGGACATGACTTGTGTTTCCTTCTAGATGTCAAAATCATTAATGTGTCTACCTTGTATATGTCATCTCAGCAGCCAGTACAGGGCTTGGCACACAACTGGCACTCAAAAACATAAAATAAATGTGGCCATTTCCTAGTTTATTTATTTATTTATTTATTTGTCTTTGTGGTAGATGGAAGTCATAATCTTAGTTTTCTGTCTAAGCCTACAAAAACCCTGGCGGGGCCATCCCTCTACTGGTTGGTCCCGAGCCTCTATCAAATGGACGTCCGGATTTGCGAAGAGTGGGGGCGGGGAGGGGAGTGCTGCTGAAAAGTCCCCACCCGCAGACCTGTCTACTCAGACCTTGTCAAGTTGCTCCAGGGCACAGCTCGCCTGCACCGCGCACACTGGAGCGCGCTGCGTTTCCAGGAGACCCGCTATGCTCTCCGGGAACCGGGATGTCCCCGCTGCCAGCGCCTGGAGCACTCACTTCCTGCTCGGTCACCAAGTGAGCACGTCAGCTCCACTTTCCCTATAAAGGCCGTGGCCCGATGAAGTCTCTATTCAGCCCCTCTCACCTCTCTGCACCGGCTTCTTCCCGCAGTGACGCCACTCCCCCGCGAATCTCTAGTGCGCGTTGGAGACAAGTATTTTGCCTCGGTGACACCTAAGCATAGAGTCGCGATCCGGCTCCCGCGCACCCACCGGCTCTGTCGAGGATGATTAACTCTACAATGGCTCCATGGGAGGTACCCCTCTCGCGGTGCCTTTCTCTAGAGGGCGGATCGGGATCGTCAGTACTTTCTGGCGACTCCGAAAAAGTTTCTTATTCCCAAACTGGTCCCCTGCGCAACCATGCTGCAAGTCAGATGGCGCTGTGGCGGTCTCGCGCGCAAGGCGCGAAGGAAAGCTTTGGTGGGCGGCTCCCCCGGTTGGATGCACTTTGAAGACCCCTTCAAGAGCTTCATGAAAGTCGCTGGAGTAAATGCGCTCAGTTGTCGGCGCATCTCTGGCTGAGCCCCACTTCCTTGTGCCCAATTTCTCTTCATTCCTGATTCCTTTCTCCGCTTCCGGGCGCCCTCACCCAGCCCAGTGTTGAGAGCTTAAGGGGAGGAAGAAGTCTATGTGGGGAGAAGGGGACGCAGGCTGGCGGCTTGTTCTTGTGAGTCTAACATTTGCCAGCGTCCTCTCTCCACCTGGTTTGAAGCCTTCCCTCTCCGCAGACGGCCTCCCCTCCCCCGCCATTTCACAGGCTGTTCCTCTAGGCTTTTCCCTGTCTTGGTCCCTCCTACCTCTCATCCGATGGGCCCCCAGCATCGCTTATCTGCTTTCTTCTTTCCCCGCCCGGGGAAGGCCACTTTGCAGTGACTGCGTCCCCGGCCCCCAGTCAGTAGGCGGAGCTGCTGGGCAGCAGGTCGTAGCGCCCCCCGCTGTAGACCACCACGCCAGGCGGGTAGTAGACCAGGTCAGGCTCCGCGGTCCGGTGGAGAGGTGCCAGGGCCTGCAGTCCCTGCTCCTCGGGCTCTGGCTTGGTGGTGGCCGTGAAAGGGCGCATGCTGGTCAGAGAAGGGGACGCGATGCGCCACAGTAGACTCTTGAGCGCTTTGCGGAACTCGCGGCGCACCAGGCAGTAGAGGATGGGGTTGAGACAGCTGTTGGAGTGAGCCAGGCACACGCTCACCGGGAACGCGTATACCTGGCACAGGAAATACTCTTGGCTGAAGGGCACGGCGTTGAACTTGATGAGGATGCTCCAGGTAGTGAGAGCCTGGTTGGGCAACCAACACAGGAAGAAGGATAGGACCACGATGGTCACAGATTTGGTGACCTTCGACCGTCTCCGGGTGCTGGCTGTGGCCAGGCCGCCCCGGGCGGCTGAGGCTCCTCCTTCGGTCCCAGCCACACGGCGGTCGGAGATGAAGCGCACCAGCAGAAGATAGCACAGGCTGGTGATGCACAACGGAAGCACGAAGCCTAGCAGCACCTTCTGCAAGTGGTAGAGGCCCAGCCAGAACTGTCTGTCTCCGCCCAGCAACTTGTCTGGGAAGCGCACCAGGCACAGCTCCTCGCCCATCACCTTGATGGTGGTGGAGAAGACCGCGTTGGGCAACGAGGCCAGCGCGGCGGAGGCCCAGATCAATACGCACAGTGCTTTGGCTGAGAAGCAGCAGCTGTCCCCCAGGCTTTGGCCGCAGCATTCGCCCCGGCCATGCCCTCGGGTCCGGTGGCTCTTAAGAGCGGACGCCACCGAGTGGTAGCGCGCCACGCTCATGGAGGTGAGGAAGAAGACGCTGGCGTACATGTTCATGGACGTCACTATGGATACGATCTTACACATGGCCTTGCCGAAGGGCCATTTGAAGTCGAGAGCGTTTTCCACCGCCCAGAAGGGCAGGGTGAGTACGAATTGAAAGTCTGTCAGCGCCAGGTTGGTGACAAAGAGGTTGATGGAGGACTTGCGCCATCCCTGCTTACTCTTCATCAGGTAGAGCACCAGCAGGTTGCCAGTCAGCCCCAACGCGCAAACCACCCAGTACACCGCGCTGATGAGGATCCGCACCCGGGACTCGGTGTCCGCACTTTCTGCCCCGCCGGTGCCCGGGGGATGCCCCGGCGCCGCGCCGTCAGTAAACTCCAGCCCCAGCTCCCACCACAAGTCCTGGAGCTGCAGCGACGACGCGTTGCCGCTGTTGTTGGCCGCCTGTAGAAGGGACGGGATCAGACCGAAGAGTTCTGCAAGCTCCTCTCCGCCAGCCTCCTTATTCATGGTGACTGTCGTGGCTGCGGCGACTGCCTCCAAGCGCAGGTGCCTCTAGGTCATGTTCGGGGAGGGCGGAGGGCAGAAGTGAAGACCAAAGCGAGTCCAACTCGCTAGGGGTTCTGTCCCGGCGAGGGCGCAGGGCGTGCGTGGGAGCTTTCAAAGCCGCATCTGTAGATAGCCCCCCGGGAACTGGGTGCCAAAGGCTCTCCCCGCGCGGAGTACACAGCCTTGGGGGCCAGAGTTGTGCTTGGCGTTTGTTCTGGAGGGGAGAGCTAGAACTGAGCAACGCTGTTCCTGAGGCGAGCTGTGGGCATCCAAGGGTTCTCTGGCCAAGGTCGGAGTCTCCGATCCTTGCTGTACAATCCAGACGTTCCCCCCACTGCCTTTTTTGGGCACTAGCTTATACCCACCCTGCCGCTCCGGACCGCTACAGGGGGCTCCCTCCTTCTCTTTCAAACCTTTGTCGGTTTCTCTGCTGCTGCTTGGACGAGGTTTCTGTCCCTTGAGAGGAAAGAGAGAGATAGGAGAGTTCCGTCTACCTTGCTCTGATCCCCTGGAGGTCTTTCGATGTCGACCTCGCTGGCTCGCGCCTTCATCTCTCCGCTGTTGTCAGCTCCCAGTGAGTTGTCAGCGGCCGCCACCCGAGTTATATTTGCACCAGCAAAGCTCGGGCTGCGGGCTCCCATGGAGCATGCGTAACCCCCGCGCGGGTATGAGGGGGGCGCTTTCCGAGGTGCTGAACTTCGCCACGCCCGCCTCGGGGAGGAGGAAGAGGAGGGTAGCTGGCAGAGCCCACCAGCTGATTCCCCCTTTCCACTTCAAAGTTCCAGGAGATAGTTGTAACCCTTTATTTTCCCACGTTGCTGGAGAAAGTCGGCTTTGATTTGCGATCCCTTTTTCTTTCTTATTCCCAAACGTAAACAGGTATTAGAAATTTTTTCTTTCTCCCTTACTCCCACTTTATCTTTGAAATTATCCCATTCGATGAAAGGGGTTTCTAAAACTTCACGCTCTGTTGCCCATTTCTATTTTTGAAAGCAATGAGTAACCTCTTTTCAAGCCCAGACCTTAAGTCAGATGATGGGCTTTTACCGGATACACAAGAACACAAGCTCCATTTCTCTTTCTACTTGGTGCCTGTGGCTGTTGGGATTTTCAAAGCATCCTCGTATAGCAAAACTCTGGGTTCACGTGTTGCCCTCTGCCTTTGGTATATTCTTAGAACTGAGGCTAAGCAGAGACTATATCATTGGTGAGTAGACTTCATAGACATTAGGTACCACCTGTCCAGCTCTGAGCCCAAAGCTCTTCCACAAATTGTTTATCCACATGACTCTCTTTACCTTGATGAATTGGAATAGAGGATTCCATAAAGCTATTTTTGGACTACCAGCCCCTTACTCTGACAACTGTTATGATCAGAACTCTTTAGCAGGTGTTTTTCAGACCAATGGAAGTAAATGCTAAGGAATCTTCTAAGTTACTTTGGGCAAGGGAAACCGGTGTAAGCCATTTGAATTACTTCTCAGACGCAGTTTGTTTAAATGCCAGTTCAACTGCTCTAGTGTAAATTGCACTTTTTAAGGGTGAACTTAAGAAATTTGAAATGTTTTCTTCACTATCCCCCATGAAACTGAGATTAAAAAAATCTTAAGCATGGCTCTCCTCTCTCCTGCAGAATCCACAACTTTACTTACAGATCTCAAGAGGATGTGACTTTAAAGCAGAGGAGAGATTAAGCTACTAGTTAAAAAAGAAATGTGATACCCAAAACATTTGAGGGGAAACCGAAACAGTCTGGCTGGATTCCAAAGCGAGGACCCAGTTCCAAGCCCAGAACACGCTTCACCACAGACTCTGGATTTATCCACTTGTCCGCTAGAGGGCGTCAGGACTTTAGTGAAGGAATGAACTAAAACCAAACCCCCTTTCAAACAGTTCTAATCTAGAGAAGCTCAGCGCTGCTGGGACTATTGCTCCCAATCCACGGGGTGCCTTTGGGGACACCTCTTATCTCTGTATTTTTTACTAGTCTCACCTTCGAGCTCACTTTTGATTTCATGTTTTACCATTCTTTCTCCATCAAATTTTTATCTCTCCTTTCTTTAAAAAAAAAGTAAAAAAAAAAAAAAAATTTCAAGGTGCTGTTGAAAAACAAGGAAGACTAGGGCATACCCTGACAGACCTTTGCCTTGGTTTTCATGTCTGTAAATGAAAGGGATTATAATTTCAAATATTCTGAGGCTCAGTACTAAGCAGGTGACGTCAGAGTGAGGTAGGCAACTTGCTAAAAATATAAATTACAACTCTCCCCCCAGCCCCACGCTGACCCAGAGACTGATTCTCAGTAGATTTGAAAAGGGCCCAAGACTCTACATTTTAAAAGCCTTCATCCAGATGATACTAATTTTTTCCCAAGTTTGGGAACATCTGGACTTTTATTTCTTTTCTGATTTTCCATGTAAAAAAAAATTAAGTTGCCCAAACTTTATCACACACTAGGACTGGAAGCAAAGGAAAAGAAGGAAGTCTTGGCAAGTTTTCCTAAAATCACATTTTAGGGCCCAACCATGACATTTTCTTCATTGTGGGACTTGAGGGGGCATGTGCTCTTGAGGCACACCAGGCCTTGAGGTACACCAGGCCTTGGTTGGTCCCAAGTGCTACTCTCCGAGAATGCTGTCAGATGCTCCTGAGCCTAGAATGTTCTTCATTTTCAAATCTGCTCTCTGAAAATGAACCAGAGATCATGTTCGAGAATTTGTAGTATCACTTAACTCTGCCTTTTTTATGGAAGCAAAAATCCACTTTCAAATATGAAATGAAATTTTCCGATATGAACTAAAGATATTTTAGACCATTTACTTAAAAGCATGAGCCATGCTTTTCTCAAACATCATCTAAAAAATTGAAGGAGAGAAACATTAGTTGTGGTCAAATATCATTTAGGCATATAAGATCATAATCCAAATAATGTAAAATATAACAAACAGGTAAGTAAGAGTTAGGGTGTGAGTTTGGGGGAACCTGTTATCACGTGGATTGTTTGTTCTGGGTAGACTGTAGCAAAATGGAAGAACTTAAGCTCAATCTAAATGAGGAGACAGGAAACTACAGGAGTCAGGTTAGAGAGGAGACACAGAATCGTAATTCTGGGATTCTATAAAGAAAAGTGGATTTTCAGATAAAACCTATTATTTCAACATTTTTTTGGAATATGTATAGTTACCCCTCACTGTGCATTACTTCTTTTCAGCCTGCAGATATCACAGATTTTTATTTTACCATAATTATGAATTGAGTTCCTAATAATGCAAAGCAATGTGTTAGGTGTTTGGATATACAACAAAAACAACAATGGCACAACATGAATGATAATAGTAGAAACCATGATTAACTACTCATACTCCACATTTATTTGGACACTGTATTATTTTTCTAGGGTTGCTGTAACAAATAACAGCAAAACAGGTGGTTTAAAATGACAGAAATATATTATCTCAAAATCCTCAAGATTAGAAGTCAGAAATCAAGGTGTAGGCAGAGTGGGTTCCTTGGAGACTCAGAGAGAAAACATTCCTTGCCTAACTTCTGGTGGGTCTATGTTGTTTCCTTGGTTTGTAACTACATCACTGTCATCTCTGTCTTTGTCTTTAAATGGCATTCTCCTCTCATTGTATATCTTTGTGTCTCTGTTTTCTCTCGATAAGGATACTAGTCATTGAATTAGGGTCTACTCTAATCCATGTGACCTCATCCTAACGAATTATATCTGCAAAGAATGTACATTTACATTTCCAAACAAGGCCACATCCACAGGTACCAGGGACTAGGACTTGAGCACATCCTTTGAGGGGAAGCAATTGTACCCACTGCAGGTAACAACTGTGTGCACTGTGCAAAGGGCTTTATCAGCATTTTCTCACCTAGTACTGAAAACCAGTGAGGTTGGTACTACTATCATCCCAAATCTGATTTCTAGCCTTTAATTCCCAGAGCTGCATATCCAGCTGTTACTTGCCACTTCTACATGGTTGCTGATTTCCTTCAGATTTCTCAGTCTTAGTCAAAGGCATTACTATTCATATAACTGTTTGAACCAAAAGCCCAAGAGTAATTCTTTATCTCTCATTTTCCCTTACACCAATTTAACTCGATCTAGAAGGTCTTGTTGGATGTTCCCAAGAATAAGAACAAAACAACTCCCCCCAAATTTCTGAATCTATCTACTTCTTTTTATTTTTCCATTTCTCTCATTCCATATTCTCTCCATTTCATCTCTTCACGAATAATAATTTATGTTAAAACTTTACGGCTTAAAACAACACATATCCTCTCACCATTTGTGTAGGTCAGTGTAGCGTCATTGGCTCCAGGTCTATCACAAGGTGGCAGGCAAGCTATCATCTGGGGCTGCGGGTTTATTTAATAGATGTAGTGGTGGTGGGGGGGAGGGTTGCCTTTAAGTTCATTCAAAAAGTTGTTGGCAGTCCTTGATCTTCACTCTGTAGGGTTCTCCACACGGTTGCTTCATAATATGGCAGCTGGTTTCCAGCAGGGTGAGTGATGAGAGAGAAGAGAGAGAGAGAGAGGAATTGGCATAAAAGCTATAGTGTTTTATAATCTAGTAAAAGTGACACTCCCACAACTTCTTCCCTATTCTGTTGTTCAGAGGCCAGTCAATAAGTCCAGGGGTACCTGGGTGGCTCACTCAGCATCTGCCTTAGGCTCAGGTCATGATCCCTGGGTTCTGGAAGCATTGGGCTCCCTACTCAGTGGGGAGCCTACTTCTTCCTCTCCCACTCCCTCCACTTGTGCTCCTTCTCCCTGTCAAATAAATAAATAAAATCTTAAAAAAAAAAAAAAAGTCCAGCCCTCTCTCAAGGAGAGGGGAATTATACAGGAATATGATTACTAGGAGGCATCTTGAAAGCTGACCACCACCATAGGACAGGTTATCACAACACCCAGCAGGAAACAGGAGTTGAAGTCCCACTTAACTGAGTAGCTATCTCCAGAGCTATGCAGTGCTG